AGCTATGAGTTGTACCTGTTCTACTTTTTTTATCAGGAGCCCAGCAAAGCACTGCTGAGGCTTATCAGAGTATAATTGGAAAGCTGTTAATTGGATCTAACAATGCTTTGTGGGGAAAGGACTGAAACCTAGAAGAGAGGTAGATTATGGAGTATAAAACAATTTACCAAAAATATGCTCCACTTGCCCTTACTTCATTATGCATGTTTGTAATGTTCTGAGCAAACCATAATCTTTACAAGGTTAACAAACTCTGGTCATGGATTTGGCGATGCCATTGCACTGCACGTGAACAGTCTAAATCAGTCACTATTACTCATTCCTCATTCTACTGTGATGTTAAACCATGAGCATGTGGTCCAGTTTTGGCAAGCAAGAGGCAGTGGGAGGAAACTTTATTAAAGAGTACCAAGAGCCAGGTCTGATGGTGCTTGCCTGCAATCCCAGCACTTGGGAGGCAGGAAGATTGACTTAAGAAACAACAAACTTGGAGCTGGAGAGATGGCTCAGTGGTTAAGAGCACTGGCTGCCCTTCCAGGGGTCCTGACTTCAATTCCCAGCAACCATATTTTGGCTCACAATGATCTATAATGGGATCAGGTGCCCTCTTGTGTCATACAGGCATATATTCAGATAGAGTGCTCATATGTATAAATAAATAAATAAATCTTTTTTTATTTTTTTATTTTATTTAACTTTTATTAATTACACTTTATTCATTTTGTATCCCTCCATAAGCCCCTCCCTCCTCCTCTCCCGGTCCCACCCTCCCCCCTCCTTTCTGCATGCATGCCCCTCCCCAAGTCCACTGATAAGGGAGGTCCTCCTCTCCTAAGAAACCACAAACTTCATATCCCTGGTTGTGATAGTCATTATATAATATTGAAATTGGCCTTTTCTTGCAAGTCCAAAGAAGAATAATTCCACAGATGGACATGACTAGTTAGTTATTGGTAATGTATAGTGAGTGCCCAAGTCAGTGGATTCTAAAACCTGCTTTACTTTATGTGATAGAGGGTGTCCTTATTACTTGTGGCTTAAGATGTAAACTATAAACATGAAGGAAATAACAGGCGAGTATAAAAAGGACATTCGGTCAATTCTGTGACACCAGTGCAAAAGTGGCCTACTTAAAGGGCTTTTCAAACTCTTAAAGAGATTACTCTGGCTCACTGATGACTCCTTCACCCACTCCTTCAGAACTTTTCCCTATGGTGCCTGGCTTTCTTCTTTTCAGAGTTTTTCTTTCAGTGAATTTGTATTCTTAATTTAGTGACACTCCATGAGATAATTTCATGCATCTGCTCCAGCTTCTTCACATTTCCCCTAAGCTCAAGCTTTCAATACTTTGCCTCCATCCCCTCTCTTTCCTTTCTGTCTCCCTTCCTTTCTATATCTCCTTCCCTTCTTCTCCCAGCTCCCTTAGGATTTTGTTTTATTTCCCAGGCTAGCTTTGAATCTCTAGGCTCAAGCCTTTTTCTTACCTTAGCCTCCCAAGGAGCTGAACTACCACACCTCTTCTTCTGCTATTTATTTTAGATTGCTTAGAAGTTCTCTCTCTTTGTGATTCATTGTAACATCTAAGCTAACTGGTCACTGCACTGTCCCTATTTTCCATACCCGAAACAGAGAAACAAACAAAAAATTACAATTCTGAAAACTGTCTATCCTGTGAATTATCACTGGGTCACCTAAAACACCATTCTGGGACTTTATCATGCCTCATCTTTTATAATTTTAAATAAATGTGAAAGGAACATCTTCTAGAAGACTTAACAGCTTAAGAATCAGGATTGGTGATTTCTGCTTTTGACTTTAAGTGTCTGTCTCTGAACATTTTCTATCCCTTCTCTTACATAGTGGAAACATAACATCATGTTTTTCAACAGTAAAGAAACTTCCCATTTCATTTCCATTTTTAAACTCCTTTCTCATTTCATGAAACCCCTTGTCATTTCTTCTAGCTTTATGTAATTACCCAGGAATCATCTTTAAATGATCAGTGTTTCCTTTATTCTTTCTTCAGCCTACTGCATCTTTCTTCAGAATATCTCATATTTTATATTGTCTGTTTGTTTTAAATATATATGAGAGCACTGGGAGCAAGGATATAGGCACAGCTTCATTTCTTGCCTGTAGTGTTCTGTGAAGTCTCCTTAATCTTTCAGGGAACTCAATTCAGGTAAAACCAGACAGACCCTTGGAGTCAACAGTCAGTATGAAGCAGAGTTGGAGTTTATTTAAAACAGGAAGAAATTGACCCAGGAAAAGAATAACGCTCACAGTTTGTTCAAAACTGTTTTTAAACATATCTCTAGAAAGAGACACCCAGGAAAAGAATATGATATGTCCAAGTGTGGGTATGGGCTTCTCAATTCAGTTTCTTAGCATTAGCCATGTATGTAATTTTGGTGGCTCTCAAGTTATATCTTGAAAGGTTGTTTATATAGCTTATGTTTCTTTTTTGATAAATAAGATTATAGGGCGGCTCCAGGGGTGAGTTGGATGGATTATATCTGATAAAGAAAAATTAGGAGCTCTTAAGGTTGCCCAAAGCTTAGGACATGTCTTTTACAGTAATTGAGGTTTCTATTGAGATCCCTGGAAGACTATAGGCTCATAGCTGGGAAAGGAGAAAAGCCGTAAGGAAACATTGTTAATCACATTGAAACTCTTGATTTCAGCTGACAAGAGGCTTCAGTCAGAATCCGGATGAAGGACTTCTTTCTGTTCCCATAGTCCTGTAACTTTCTACATTCTGACCTGTCTCATACTCATCATCTCACGCTGGGGGTAATGCATACTAAGCAGCTAGCCAGTGTTCTTTTCTCTATAGTTCCTCCCCTCTTTTAAACAGACTAATTTATTAAGCTACAAGCTTAAGATAGCAGCTATTGGAACTTGACTAAGTGCTAGTAAGTGCTTGGTAGATGCAGAAAAACTGTTCAACTTTGCCTACCAAATCCAATCTTAAGCTGTGAAACCACTTTCTTCCCACCCCCCTCTGCCTATCTATATAGTCAACATTATTTTCTAGTTTTCTTTGCTTCTTGATTTTGCTTGTCTGTTCCTCTCTTCTCCTTGAAATGTCCTTTAAAATTTTTACTTGTATTAAATGGAGTTGGAGCAAGAAACAGATGACACATTAGAGTTGGTAATGGAAGAGTTTAAGGGGGAGGATGTTTACACAATTGTTGACAAAGTTAAGGGAACATGGGATGGTAGAGCATCCTCCAGATAAAAGTAGAAGGAAAACAACTACAGTCACATCTAAAGTGATAGGGAGTAGGATGTTAGGACTTGGAAAACTGTAGCTTCAGTGCAGAAAGCTGAGCTGTGAGTTCCTGAAGATGTAGGGCCATTACTAGATTGTGTTCTCTAGGGAGGCAGCTACTATACAGGTATCTCCCACAGATCTAACCCCACTGGGATCCAAATAACAGAGAATTTCCTGTTGTCACAGTGATCAGTGGTACAGGGCAGAGAGCAGTGTAGAAAGGGCATGGCGGGTAAGAATGGTCAAATGAACAATATGTATTCATTTCTCACATTTCCCTAATTCAAGTCTTGCTTCTGTCTTTCAAATTTTTATTTTTCTATTTAATTTAATTTAATTTTAAGTGTACAAGTATTTTGCCTGCAGGTGCATGTGCATGCCTAGTGCCTGAAGAGGTCAGAAGAAGCTGTTAGATCCCCTGGAACTGGAGTCATAAGGGTGCTGAGAATTGAACCTGAGTCCTCTGCATGAGCAACTTCACAACTGCATAGCTCTTCACAATTGAGCTATCTCTCCAGCTCTGTTTATTTACTTTAATACAAGCTGAGAGTTCTCATTTTGCCAGATAGTAATTTGCCTACCTGCTTTTCTGGGAAAAGCCTTACTGCTTCATCTACATGATTAATTTAACAGTCTTATTGCAGTGTGCATACCCAAAAGTGGTGTATGAACTAAGACTAATTCCCCTGGATTTTGAAGTGGATTTAGAGAGAACTATATGAAACTGTGACATGTAGAACTGAGGCATCCAGTTTTGGTGGAATCCCTGTTTTCTGCTGTATCTATTTGAGCCTCCAATATACCACATTGTGGGTCTTCCTCCTTCCTCAGTTCGCTCTATTTTCCAACATTTGTTATTGGCCTCTTATCACATCTATGAAATGTTTAGGTTCCTTATGACACTTATGACAATTATTTGTCAGCTTCTGTCATTCAAAAACTTCTTTCCATAAAGGACCTTGATGGATCAGGAAAATGATGTTGAGTATCCACTATGGGATCCTTTCCACCAGGTGCTCAACCCATAGGTTAGAAGTGTTGCTCTGCAGTGTCCTGCCATTAAATGTACAGTCACACTGCTCTGGATGCTGAGAATAAGTGATGGTTGAGGGCTTAGCCCTAAGTAGGACATTTATACTATCTCCTTTAAGGCTAAGGAAACATTGTGGTTGAGGCAGTGTAAGAGCTGGAAGATAAGAGAGAAGGGTTGCAAAATACGATCTTTTGGGCATGACATAGCCATTGCAATCATGATCTTATCAGACGTAGTTGCCTGTACTGGGCCTGTGAAAGACTGAGCCTATTGTCTTCAGTATTGGATCAGGAAGGGACTTGTGTGATCATCCCCATCCTTTCTAGGTATTAGCTGCTGGTGGCATCTGGGAAAAAGGCAGTCATTATCTTCATCGGGGTACCTACAAGTGAGCCCACTAGGCTCTATTGCATAGTTCAAAGCCCATGAACACAGAAACTGACAAGTGCAAGTCATTGTGTCAAAGACGAGGTAGAGAGACATGAATGGGAAGAAGAAGGAAGTTCATGGGTTGAGAGGGAGACAATGTATTCTATATAAAGTAGGAAATTGGTAAAGAACTTTAATAAAAGTATATATATATATTCTGTTGTTAAATAAATTATAATTTTAAAGATTTAGAAACTCATGAAAATGCCTTGCTTTGATGAAATATATATACTGAATTTTCTTTTTGTTTCTTATGTTAAGGAACTAAAAAAAGCAGCATCAGAGTTGATTAAGTGCAAGGTCATATGTCAGCATAAGATGGAAGAAGAAAGTATAGATTTGATAATTAAAGAACAAAAATGTAAAGAGCTTCAAGAAAGACTCAACATGGTATTTAATTAAATTTACTCAAGTTTATAAAATTAAAACCTTACCAAAAGTAGAACTTCAGGATTATTGCACAAAATATTTCTTGTTTGTAAAGTTAATAGACATAGTAAAAATTAATGTACAAATCTTTTTTAACTTATTGGATTTCTTGTCATTAGCAAAAACCTAGAACAACATTTAGCCATAACAATTTTATTCCCACTCAAATGTAGCTTCAGATAACTTTATGACACAGTGGTGTCTCTGAGTTGTTTTGAAGATGAGAAGTTTCCTAGTTTTAACATTTTGTGTTAAACGTGTGTGTATGTGTGTGTGTTGTATGTGCATTTGTGTGTGTGTGCTCACATGCATGTTCACACATGTATAGCCTCCACTGGGCTTTTTAAATCACTGGAGCCAGTGTCTCAACACGAACGTGGCTACTGAATTGAATACAGAATTTACTGAATTTTGCATTATAACTTTAACATTCTTCAACTTTGAAGGAATTGGAATTAAATAGGAAAATTAATGAAGAGATTACCCATATTCAAGAAGAAAAACAGGTAAGCAATAATCACATATTTTGGAAGTCAGTTAATATTTTAAAAAACAGTAGCAAGGTGGGGAGTAGACATGGAATGATATTTGCCTAGGTGTGGAGTAGGCATTCAGCTAACGTATTGAGTGAATATGTTTTTGTACTTCTAACCTGTTGAGTGTACACTTCCATTTTTGTTATTAAAAAGATTTTCTTCCTTTCTCTCTCTCTTTCTTTTTTCTTTCTTTCTTCCTTCTTTCTTTCTTTTTTTCTTTCTTTCCTTTCTTTCTGTTGTGAGACAGGGTTTCACTATGTAGCTCAGGTTGTCTTGGAACTGTCTATGTAGATCATTCTTGACCTTGAACTCACAGAAGCCCATCTTCTTCTGCCTCCTGGGTTTAAAAGTGAGTGCCTTTACATTTATTAGTGTGTGTGTGTGTGTGTGTGTGTGTGTGTGTCTTATATGTGCATTTGTGTGTATGTACTCACATGCATGCTCACACATCTCTATATTCAGAGCCCAGAACTCTTCAGTCCCTCAGAGCTGGAGTCAGAAATGCTTACAGGATGCCTGGCTTGTTGGGTAGATGCTGGAGTCCAAGTCTGACCCCCATGATTTTACAGCAAGCACTCTTAATTGCTGGGCCATTTGTTTGAGTTAGGGTCTCACTCTGTAGCACAGGATAGCTTGGAGCCGACCCTGTAGTCCATGCTGGCTTTAAATCCATTGGCAATTCTTTTGTCTCAGCCTCCCAAGTGTGAGATTATAGGCACCAGGCACACATTTCCTAGCTAAATTTTCATTTTTTAAGAAGTAGTTTTATTATTTGTTAAACCAGTGGTGATTTAACAGATAATTACTGAAAATACGCCATGTGTGATTTTAGAACAATTTCTTCTCTATTTTTATATTTAAAGAATAGTTTGGAAAAATTATTTTTAAATTGTTTTTAGATTTATCTTACGTATTTGAATGTTTTGTCTGCATGTCTGCATGTGCACCATGTTTGTGGCTGGTTTCCATGGAGGCCAGAAGAGGGCATTAGATCTACCTAACTGGAGTTACAGTTGAGAGGTTTCATGTAGGTGCTGGGAACCGAACCTGGGTTCTCTGTGAGAGCAATACATGCTCTAAACTGCTGAGCTTTCCCTCCAGCCCCTCTTCTTCTGCTTTACCTGTTCTTTTTCTTGCTTTCATTTGATTGGTGACATCCTAGTCTATAGAGTCATTTTATAATATTATAAGTCATGTAACTATTTTACTAGAAATATATTCCTCACCTGTGGGTGAGCAAGGCATCAACTTTATTTCAGTTTTGAATTCTTTACCTTGTTTAGTAATGTCTTAGAATAAGATCGGCCCATTCCAAAACTTTTAAGTTAAGGGACTTCTAGAAATAATACTTACTAGAAATTTATGTAACAGTATAGAAGTGCTGTTAGTTTAATACATAGTATCAAAAGTAAGATATAATGATAGTATCTTAAAAACTAGAAATACATTTAAAGAATTAACAGAAACATGATATATTTTTATGTTTTTTAAGGATATCATCGTTTCTTTTCAACATATGCAACAATTACTTCAGCAACAAACTCAAGCCAATACTGAAATCATTGCAGAATTGAAGGTTCTAAGAGAAAATAATCAGGTTATGTGGCTCGTCTTTGCTACTTTGTGGGTTCTCTCTTTCTCATCCTTTACCCGCTCCGCCCCCACCAACAACCACCCATCCACCTATCAGTGGCCTTAGCATTTATATATCCTCTGAAGAGTTTCCAGAATTCCAAGATTCACACAATAGCAGAAACTATCTGCAGCTGACAAAACCATGCCTCTGCTAGAACATGAGGCAAATCATAGTCAGCTTATGATATCATCACACCGAGGATTGAAAACAAAAGCATATTCTTATAATAGGTCTGTGTTCTTAAAGAAGCCAAAAATTCTAAAAGTCTCACTACAAGATTATACATTTAAATATATTCTATCTAATATCCTTCTCCTGTTAGTTGCATTTAAGTATCTTGTTCTATCATTTAATTTTAAAAGATGCTAGATTCCTTCATCAGTTTTCAGCATCAATGTGTGAAGTAATGAATGTTTTTGCAACATTTAAGTTAAAAACTAGTTAAATGTTAAATTTTATCAAGTATCTGACTGTTTTTGAGACAGGGTCTCTTTAATGTAGTCCTGGCTTTCTTGGAACTCAGCATACAGATCAGGTTGGCCTCAGAGTCACAGAGATCCACATGCCTATGTCTTAAGTGCTAGTATGAAAGGTGTGTGCCACCATGCCCAATTAGTATATGATTTCATTTTGAAGTGACATAAGTAGAAATTTTCTTTTAAAATTGTGGCCAAGGCTAAAACTGAAGATTATAAGGAAAATTAGTCAATCACATTTTAAAAGAACCAGTTCTCAGAATTTGGAGGCCTGTCATCATAGGGATATGATCAAACTACTGGTGTTAGCACAGTCATTCCAACATCTTCACAGTAGGCAAAAATGATTGCAAAGGAAAGGCATATGGTTACTAGTATTTTGAACTTCACACTTCAAGAGGAGAGACTTTTCTTTTGCCCTCCTAGTGAGGGAAGATCTTAAATGAGGTGTCTACAAAAAAAAAAAAAAATCCACTGTGAGACAAGAGGAGGCTGCTACCTTCTTGGCTGATGCTCAAGATGCTGTAGATAATGGGAAGTTCCTCTGGTGTTGCAAGTAGAGTGAAGTGAAGTAAGTTCATGTGGAAATTTACCAAGAGTAAGAGTGATGCCCTGGTCTGATCTAGAAACTTAAGACTTTCAAAGCTTTGGGAGTAATCTGTGTCTGAAAAGCTTGACATGTAGCCTGGGAAAAGTGAACAACAAGAGAACCTTGGTAGTTCTGAATTCTATGTGAAGGAACATGGGATGAGTGGAGGGGCAGAAACATTACAGGGTTTAACTATGCCAAGTGATGGGATGGCCATTCCATCACTCTCACAAGGAGCTGGGGGATGTTCAGATGTGGTGGCCAATGCAACATACTTATGTCCTTTTGAAGGGACTCTCTTAGTAGCAAAGGAAACAGCAAATTGGAACATTTCCCGTCACAGCTATAGCCATCTCCCATATAGGGACGGTCATCATAGAGATTTAGGGCTGACTTCACGAGTGAACAATTAGAGTAGTTTCATAGGGAGTCACACTTAGAAATAAGTATAGCCCTTCTTTTTAATTTTGTACTCGGTGCCTTGAAGTTTTTCATGAAGTTTTATCTTTTGAAGATTTATGTTTTGTAAAGTAAGTCTGATAGTGCATGAAAGCACGTAGTGGAATCTTAGAGCCTCAACAGGCATTTTCTTGTATCTGCTGCCTCCCAGTCTTGGTTCTTTTTCTAAAAATATTTATTTGTTTGTTTGTTTGTTTGTTTATTATTACAATTTATTCACTTTGTATCCTGGCTATAGCCCCTTCCCTTGTCTCTTCCCAGTCCCACCCTCCTTACCTCTTCTCCCCCTATGCCCCGCTGCTAGTCCACTAATAAGGGAGGTCCTCTTCCCCTTCTATCTGACCTTACTCTATCAGGTCTCATCAGGACTGTCTGCATTGTCTTCCTTTGTGGCCTGGCAGGGTTGTGCCCCACCAGGGGGAGGTGATCAGAGAACTGGCCACTGAGTTCATGCCAGAGACAGTTCCTTCTCCCCTTACTAGAAAACCCACTTGGACACTGAGCTACCTATGGGCTACATCTGAGCAGGGGGTCTATTTTATGCATGGTCCTTGGTTAGAGTATCTGTCTCTGTGGGGCCCCTCAGCTCAGGGTTTTGTTTTGTCTTGTTTTTGACTCTGTTGATCTCAATAGAGGAATATTGAATGGTAGAGAAACACTTAAAGAAATGCTCAATGTCCTTAATCATCAGGGAAATGCAAATCAAAAAGACCCCGAGATTTCACCTTACACCCATCAGAATGGCTAAGATCAAACACTCAAGTGACAACACATGCTGGAGAGGGTGTGGAGAAAAGGGAACCCTCTTCCATTGCTCGTAGGAGTGCAAACTTGTACAACCACTTTGGAAATCAATCTGGCGCTTTCTCAGAAAATTGAAAATAGTACTACCTCAAGATCCAGCTATGCCACTCCTGGCATATACCCAAAAGATGCCCCACCATTCAGTAAAGACATTTGCTCAACCATGTTCATAGCAGCTTTATTTGTAATAGCCAGAATCTTGAAACAACCTAGAGGTCTCTCAGCTGAGGAATGGATACAGAAATTATGGCACATTTACATAATGGAACATTACTCAGCTATTGAAAACAAGGAAATCATGAAATTTTCAGGAAATGGATGGAACTAGAAAAGATCATCCTGAGTGAGGTAACCCAGAAAGACATGCACGGTTTATACTAACTTATAAATGGATATTAGCCATATAATATAGGATAAACATATTAAAATATATTGTCCTAAAGAAGCTAAACAACAAGGAAGTTCCTAGAGAAGATGCTTAATCTTCATTTAAAAGGGCAAACATGATAGACATTGGAAGTAGGAGAAGACAGGGACCAGCACAAGCCTTCCACAGGGGGCCTGTGACAGAATCTACCCAGCAGAACATCAAAGCAGATGCTGAGACTCACAGCCAAAGTTTGGGCAGAGTGAAAGGAGTCTTATGGAAGAAGTTGGGGATAAAAGGATCTGGAGGGGACATGGGCCCCACAAGGAAACCAACAAAAAGCTAAAAATCCTGAGCCCAGGTGGTCCTGCAGAGACTGATGCACCAACCAAGGACTATGCATGGAGAAGTGCAAGACTCCTTGCTCAGATGTAGCCCTCGGGCAGCTCAGTCTCTACGGTGGTTTCTGAATAAGGGGAGCAGGGGCTGCCTCTGTCATGAACTCAGTTGCCTGCTATTTGATCATTTGCTGTTGGGGATGTGGCCTTTGAAGGCCACAGAGGAAGAGGATCCAGGCAGTCCTGATAAGAATTGATAACCTATGGGAAGATGGCAGAGGAGGAGAACTTTCCCTTTCAGGGGACTAGAGGAAGGGAATAGGGGGAAGCGGGAGGGAGAGTGGGACTGGGAGGAGTTGAGGGAGGGGGCTTCAATCCGGATATATAATGAATAAATTGTAATATATATAATTTATTTGAGAACAAAAAAAATCATGTGATGACATTTGGCTATGGACTAGTGAGAAGTTTGTCGTGGATCAGTGCTTCACTGCTGACTGGTGTATAAGAACTACTGATATATAGCACAGCAAAACATTAATGCTGGGCTGTTGCTAAGGATTGCACTGCTTAGATACAGCAAATGTTTTTTTGAGGAGCATCTAATTCCATTGGTATTAAAAGGGATCGTTGCTCTTGATAATGTCTGACTGGTTTTCAGTGCTCTGCAGTTACACTGTCATCTGTGTTAGGTTTTTAGAAGTAAATTTAGAAATAAAATAGTGATCAAAGTTCTACTTCTAAGTTTACTTATGTTCCTGTAGTCATAATATTAAAAGTAATTTTCATATTTTGCAGTTACTGTATTAACTAGGGCAATTTATTGTGTTTTATCATTTAGCAAATGATTTCAGTTTGACCTCTGATAATACCTGTTTCTTCACAATGTTTTTCATATTTGTTATTTCAGTTGGAAATAACAATACATTTCAGGTATGTTTATATTATGTACAAGTTTATATTTCTGATAGAGTATAAACTCCAAGAAGACTGCAGCGTTGTAGCTGATGGAGCATAAGCACATGAGAGGTGTCAAGAGTGCAGTAGGACCTTGCTAAGTGTTATTAAATAAATAAATGAAGTACCATGAATAAACTTGGGCTCTTCCCAAGTTAGAGACTACCTGTTTAGGGCTTGCAGCTAAAGATGATTAATTGAACCTACATTTACTTCTGTCGCCTTTTGAAACTGCTATAAAATGGCAATAAATCCACAAGGACGTGGAAATGACAGAAGAAACATAAAACGCTAAGCTTTAAAAGTGAACAAGATAGACAGCAGAAACAGGAAATAGAAACCTAATTCAAAGTTGTGGTAATGAGGCCTGGAAGGTAGGTTGAGTATGGAATGTAGCTAGGGTCCTAGCCTACCATCAGATAGATATAAGCTAGAGTTATTTTAGACAAGGGAACCTCAGCTGATGAAATGCCTCTCCTAGACTATACTGTGGGCAAACCTGGGGTGCATTTTCTTAATTGATTGAGATGGGAGGGACCAGCTCATTGTGGCAATGCCACCCCCTGAACTGATGGTCCTGGGTGCTATAAGAAAGGAGGCTGAACAAGCCATGGGGAGCAAGCAAGTAAGCAGTGCTCCATCATTGCCTCAGTCTCAGTTCCTACCTCCAGGTTCCTGCCCTGTTTGCGCTCCTACCCCAACTTCCTGGATGATGGGTTATGATATGGAACTTTAAGCTAAAATAAACATTTCCTCCCCAAGTTAGTTTTGGTCATGGCGTTTTCTGATAAGAATAGAAAGCCTAAAATGCTGAGACACTGGATTATATCTCTATACCACTAAACAAACAAAACTAAACCCACAAATGGTCAGGAATTATAGTATCCTGGTCTTTTGAAGTGAGATAGGCAGTTGAAAGATCCAGATGAGAATATTTGTGTAAGAATCTATTGCAACCCAAGATTTCTCCTTTCACCCCACAGGAATTGGTTCTCTCCTTTGTAGATGTGTGGTTGGAATTTGAGAGAGAGTTGAGGTAGAAAGAGATCTAGTGGTATGCTGAGGTCCCCTTATTGTTAGGAAATTGGTTGTCAAAGTAGTAGTGGCCTGAAATTAACCATGCCACTAACAGAAATGGCAGCATTACGAATTAATTCTTCTCTCTCCCCCTTCTCTCCCTTTCCCTCACCCTCCCACTTTCTGCCCACTCTCACCCCTTTTCTTCCTCTCTTCCCCTTTCTTCTCTCTATCTCTCCTCCCCCTTTTCCTTTCTTCTCTTCATTTTTTTCTTTTAAAAAAAATCTTATTAAGTTCATTTAGTTTTCATCCCAAAGGTATCTTCTCCATCCTCTCCTTTCAGTCTTCGCTCCCCCTTATTCCCCCTTCTCCTCTTTCTTCCCCCCTCACAGAAAAGGGGAGGCTCCTCCCCCCAATAGAAACCCTCTCCAGTACATCAAGGAGCATATCCTCTTCCACTGAGACCAGGCAAGGCATCCCTGCCGGGGGGGAAGTAATCCAAAAGCAGGCAATAGAGTCTATGTTAGAAACAGGCCCCCTTTACTTGCCAGGGGACCCACATGAAAACCAAGCTGCCCGTTGGCCACATATATGTAGGGGTCCTAGGTCAAGACCATTCATGTTCCTTAATTGATGCCTCAGTCTCTGTAAGCTCCTGTGGGTCTGGGTTAGTTGTCTCTGTCTTCTGTGAGGTTCCTGTCCCCTCCAGGTCCTTCCGTCTTTTCCCCAACACTTCCACAGGACCCCCAGAGCTCTGTCTGCCCCATGCTTGGCTGCAAGTGCCAGCATCTTTCTTGATCTGCTGCTGGGTGGAGCCTTTCAGACAATAGTCATGTTAGGCTCCTGTCTGCAAGCATAGCAGAGCATCATTAATAGTGCCAGGGGCTGGCTGTCTACTGTGGGGTGGGTCTCAGGTTGGGCCAATCATTGGTTGGCTATTCCCTCAATCTTTGTTCCCTCTTTATCCCCACACTTCTTGAAGGCAGGGTTATTTCTGAATTAAAGGTTTTGAGGGTGAGTTGTTGTTCCCCTTCCTCCCCTAGGAGTCCTTCCTGGCTAGGAAGTCGTCACTTCGGTCTCCATGTCTAAAAAACATGTAAAACTAAGACTGCTTAAAGGAAATATTCTTACTAATCCACAGGACTAGAGTGAGAAATTCAGAAACACAGACTAGGAGAAACTCTGCTAAAAATGTAAATGCAATGGAAAGGCTGTGAGATAGTTGTTCAGAAAGTGGAATCAATAGATGAATAATGGGTACAACTGGCAAGTAGCTCAGGAGGTGAGGTGCTTGTCATGCAAGCATGAGGACCTGGGTTCAATCCCTGGCAGCCACTGAAAAGCCAGCTATTGTGCTGTGTGCCTCCCAGTGCTGACAAGCAGACACAGGCTGGTCCCTGAGGCTCGCCGGCAGGTCAGCCAGTTTACCTGGTTGGTGCTCCAGTTCAGTGAGAGATGCTGTTTCAAAAAAAGCTCCGGAGGAGTGAAACCTGAAGTTGACCTCTGGCCTACCTGTGCATACACACATGCACACAAGGCAAATAGATGGAAACAAGAGAGAAAGAATTAAGGAAACAGTCAGAGGAATCTGTTACGTTTCAGAGAAGAGAGAGAACCAAGAAAATAGAAGGAGAAAGAATGATCAAAGACGCAATACAAAAAGTTTCACAGGCCTGAGGGATGCGAGTTCATTTTGCCTAATAGCAGTGTATGTCATTATAAAATATACATAACACATAAAAAGATGATTCTAAAACTGCAGAAAAGTATGGGATGCAAAGAAATAGGAACGAGAATGGGCCTTAGCTTTCTTGTTGACAACACTGGAGGGTAGAAAAAAATAGAATTGTGTCCGCAGAGGCTGGGAAGAAATGGCCAGAGTAGAGTTGGAGTATACTCAGGTAATCTAATTTCTCAGTGGACAAGGGCGGGGGCAGAAATAGGTACCATGCATGCCTGCTTAATCATCACATAACAGTTTGCTGTATCCAGAAAAGGAAGTGAAGCAAGGAACAGGGAACCATGAGCTCTAGGAAGCAAGAGACTGCTGATAACCTGGCTTGGGCAGTCAGCTGAGGATATAAGTCAGGTTGTAATGAAGGATGGAAGGGCTCCAGAAAATCTGTGGTCTTTTTTAGATAGGTATGAACCAGAAGGAATTGATAAAACACCCAATATACACTGTTTTAAGAACATGATGCTGTTGGTCATTTATTGTTAATAGAATAGAGACTGTGGTTTGTTCTCTCATCTCTTTCCTAAACACTGATCTATTTTCTAAAATAGAGTATGCTGTCCATATAAATAGATAACCGTGAAAACATTTGTTAGAATGTTAAAATACTATGTGTCTATTAATTATACACCACTGCAAGTATTTAAAAACTACCCTGTTATTATATGTAACAATGGATTAAGGAGATGTGTATTATGTGAAAATGTTCACATTATCCTGAAAAAGAGCAATCAAAATAGGTATTCAATTACATGTTTCAAAGTGCATAGCTCCTAGTGAGACAGAGAACATTCTTGTCACAAGTTGCAAAATGCTTTTTATTAGCTGTGTTGCCATAATTTCATGATATAGTTACTCATTGATATTTTAGGTGTAATTGAGAATACCTTAAAAAGAATGGTCTTAAGACTTTTAAATGAGCTGGGCATGATGGCGCATGCCTGTGATCCCAACACTTAGGGAGACAGAGGCAGGCAGATCTCTGTGAGTTTAAGGCCAGCCTGGTCTACAAATCAAGTCCAGGACAGCCAAGGCTACACGGAGAGACCCTGTCTGGAAAAACAGACAGACAGACAAACAAACAAACAAACAAACAAAGGCTTTTAATTGAGATCAATTAATATTTGGTAGCATGGAAAATAAACAAGAGAGAGTTGCCTTTTCAAAAAGCAAATTAAAGAGCAGTTAAGTATGAGCTGTGTCTCAGCTGTATGTGAAAGACATTTGTGTGCTTTTTCTGCTGTGAGTAACCTCTGATTGCAGAAACATGTGAAGTGCTAATTTGAGGAAGGAGAACTCAGAGGTATAACCACCTTTTCCTTTTACATTGTTTGGTGTGGTTGGGAATTATACTGAGTGTACCTGGCTTTACACATGAATTAAATGACAGATAAGTGAATTAAATTAAAATTCTAGATGTATTAAATACAGATACTTTTTTTCAGTTTGTTTGAACTACAAACAGATAGGAAAGAAACCTAATAATATCAATGACAATGATCCATACTTCCAAAATCTTAGTCTCAGAAAATGTTTGGCAATATTTTTATTTAAAAAAAATTTTTTTGAGACAGTGGGGTAGTGATTCTATTACATTAACTTAATGAAGTAACTAAGTGATGTGTTAAATAAGTTAGGCTAAAAAGTATTAATTTGAAATTAGAATTGTTTTTTAAGGTTTTCTAGCCAGTTAACTTCTAAAATAAATAAAAACTCCTAATGGTAGTTAAAATCTTTAGTAGGCTAGGCTGGATTATGCTACAGTTCACGCTTTTCAACGCTGTACTTTATATTACTTTTTCAGCGCATTAAAACTTATGCAGTGAAACTGAATAATGGCAATGTTTTTATACCCTTTTATAGCCGTTTCTTCATCATAGCCTCCCCCTATTTCCTGTTAGCTAAACTCTAAGCACCTTTCTGTTAATTTATGAAAATTATTGTTGAGATAGCACATTATCACTGATCTGTATGGCACTTTCAGCATGTTCCACGTAAAGGCCTGAGCAACATAAAACACATCAAAATTCATTAATGTGGTATTGATTATTTTTTGGATAATTAATTTTATTGCAGACCCTTGAAAGAGATAATGAGCTGCAAAGGGAGAAGGTAAAAGAAAATGAAGAAAAGTTCCTTAATCTTCAGAATGAGCATGAGAGAGCGCTAGGAACTTGGAAGAGACATGTAGGTTTACTAAACTGTAAAATATTAAAGTATTTTAAATATCTATAGACATTTAAAATAACTTTTGAATGCTAAGAAAATATTAAAACTTTATAAGTCAGACACATTTTCTTCTTACACTTATATTTCCCTCAAAATGAGTGTACTTTAAAAAACTGAATTTAATAAAATTCCTTTTGATGTTTTTGTGCATGGAAGACTATATGTGCATGTGTTTTATATAAACATAAAGCATATGTGACTATGGAATAGCTGTTAATATGTGACAAAGAAAAATTAATTTGCACTTTAATAAAATGATTCATTGTGTCTTAGGAAATTAGAATTGTATGTAAGGCACTGGTAGGTGAGTTGCTGTTCTCATTGGTTTTGTTGAGATGTGTCAGGTCTATGTTAGAACATGTATGCAATCGTCGAGTTCTGTTTTACTAATATTACGAGATTGTATATTATAAACTGCTGCTTCCTTTAAGTCACAGTTGTTTCTTCTCCCCTAAATGTTAGTTTTGATAAAAGGTGTAAAACAATTGTAGAATATGATGTAAATTCCAGTTGCAAAGCAAAATTTCAGCTCAAAGACTGATGGATCACAAAATTGATTTTTCTTGGCATCAATTTCATTGCCCTTTTAGTTCCTTGGAGAGGAATTAAAACAATTGTCCCAAGCTATGACTTACGGAAAGCGTGGCTGTAATCACTCTTTAATAAAAGAATCACCACAATAGAAAGTCACTATGGGTTTCTAAAACTACATTTTAGAAATACCTGATTCTACTTTAGACTACGAAATACCGTTTCCTTTATTATGCTAATGTGTATCTGAATGCTTTATAACATTTCTGTAGGTGATTTTATTTGTCATGTAGAAAACTCTATTTGTAGCTCTTAAGTTTTTCTAATTCAGAGTTTCAAGAGATAAACTTGGTCATGGATGGTTTTGATACGCTTTATTCAAATCTACGAAACATATTTCACGGTTACACTGTGGTACCTAAAATTGGTTAATAATATTCACCAGGAGAATGGACCATGAAGCAGCAAGTACAGTACTGCACTTACTCCGCTGCCTGCCTTTTCAGTCTGTAAGAGGCTGTGGAAATGGCGCTGTGAGGACTGGGCAGGCTGGAAACTGGAAAGGAGCCGAAGCTAAACATAACACGCCACAGAACCAGATCAGTCACGCAAAACAACTAATGTTCCTTCTCTCCTGAGGCTACAACAGTGGCCAACTTCCAGGGGTTAAAAAAGAGAGGGAGAATAGAGACAATGGGGCTGGAGAGAGGGCACATCTGGTAAGAGGCCTCTTGCAGGGGATCAGGTGTAGTTCCCAGGACCCACAATGGAAGCTAAAACCACCCCTAACTCCAGTGTTTCTGATGCCCAGTTCTGGCCTCCATGCATGCATGCGCGCGTGCGCGCACGCACACACACACACACACACACACACACACGCACAGAGCTAAATCACACAATTTTTTCCTTAGAAGGAAAAGCAGTTTTTTTTATTGGAGAGGCTGTAATTTGTAAGCTTAAATAAAATGGTTTTATCATAGGATTTTTAGATTCTGCAATCATAAACCATCATAATTCTTTAGTTCTAAATAGAATATAGTTGAGTAAGAAAAAGCCACTTTGGTTTTGTAAGGATTTTCTTTTTAAAGATTTCTTTATTTATATATCTGGGTGTTTTGTCTGGCTGCACATCTGCACACCAGAAGGGTATTGAATCCCATGTGACTATGGTTACAGATGCTGTGAACCACCATGTGGGTGCTGGGATTTGAACTCAGAACCCCAGGAAGAGCAGCCAGTGTTCCTAACTGCTGAGCCATCTCTCCAGCCCCTTGTAATGATTTCCTTAAATGGAGATCAGGTCTATATGGTCTGTATCTATCTGTAGCCACATGTGAGCTTTCTGTGGAAAGGCATCCCCCAAGAAAGTGCTTCTGAGCTGCACAGGCGGGAAGCCCAGTTTGCAGATGTTAGCCCGAGTGTCAGGGGCCAGTGTGTGCTGTGTCCACACTGCCAGCCAGCTCCTCCACGTGCTGCCCTGCAGACAGCACAGCTGGAGCTTGTAGAGGATTTTGTGACTAGAAGTAAAATCTTTACTTCTCTAAGGAGGTCTTTAGGGGCACGGGCCCTACACGGGCCCTAGTTTGATTTTGTATTTCAATCCTGACTGCTGTTTTCTATATGAGCACTGGCTTGGGCAAGTTACGTGATCTTTCTGAGCCTCTCATTTCTCAAAGAGTATGAATATATGATCATGTTTGTTAAACGCTTGTTACTATTTTACAGTGTTATTTTTCAATACATGTAGTTGATTTTGTTATTACCTTTACCATTTCATAAAACAATGTTTTCAGGTAAAAATTATGCACTTGCTCATTTTGGCTTGATTTTATTCTAGGTTGAAGAACTTAGTGAAGAAATGAATGAGATTAAAAATGAGTTGTCCTCACTTAAGGAAGTTCATGTTAAGTTGCAAGAACATTACAACAAATTATGTAATCAGAAAAAAATTGGGGAGTGCAAGAAGTTTCAGGTAAAATTTAAATACGTTTTAGGGTAAAACTGTTACATTAGGACCATTGCTGGTGATTTTTTCATTTCATTTTATTTTTAAATTTTTATTGTTATTTTCTGAAAAAGAGTTCCACTGTGTTTCCATTGAGACTGTGTTAGTTTTTGCCAGTTTGACACAAACTAGTGTCACCTGGGAACAGGAAACCTCAACTGAAGAATGACCTTAATTGAAACCTGTGGTCATGTCTTGATTAATGAGGAAGTGGGGACAGCCCATGTGGACAGTGCCAACCATGGGCATGTGGTCCTTATGGAAGAAGGGGAAGAAGGATTCGAAGAGCCAGAGAGGTCAAGGACACCACAAGAAAACCTACACAATCACTTAACCTGGGTCCACTGGGGTTCACAGAGACTAAACCACCAACCAGAGAGCATCCATGGGACGGGGCTAGACTCCCCCTCCCCCAAACACGCACAGCTTATTCCTCTTACAGCAGGAGCAGGGGCTGCCTCTGACTCTACTGCCTGCCTTTGGACCCTTTTCTTTCCTCTAACTGAATGGCCTTGTCTAGCTTCAATAGAAAAAGATGGGTCCAGTCCAACTTGATATGCCAAGGTGGGTTGATACCCATGGGAAGTCTCCCCTTCTCTGAGAAGAAAGGGAGGGGACACAGAAGAAAGAGGAGGTGAGAGGGAGGGTCTGGGAAGGGAGAAGGGAAGGGACTTCCTGCCAGGATGTAAAGTGAATAGATTAATTAATTAATGGGGGGTGGGGTGGAAGGCACCTGAAGAAGCAAGCCAGTAATCCTTCCTTAGAGCTCTCTACTGAGATTCCTGCCTCCAGGCTCCTTCTGCCTGACTTCTCTCAAGATGGACTGCGACCTGGGATTTGTGTATGACATAAGCCTTTCCTCCCTAAGTTAGTTTTGCTCAGTGTTTTATCACAGCCACAGAGATGCAAATGAGGAAACTGAGTGTTTTTTCCCAAGGCGATTGTCGTGAGATACGCACCTGAGTTGTTAGTTCATTAGTAGATGGACAAGCTGATGACTTTTCTGTGTAGATTTTGCCCTATTTTGCTGGGTTTGCTTATCAGATCTGAGATTATTCAGGGAGTATCTTTAGTTTTTCCTCAGTAGAGGATCATTTCATCTACAAACATGGATAATTTAACTTCTTCCTTTTCCTATTTGTATACCTCCGTGTCTTATAGCGTTATTAGAGGACACGTTTCTGTTTCCCCTCTCGTTCAAGATCATGCTGGCTTTACAGCCTTTTTGTTATGTTCAGGTATAATGCTTTTGTACTTAGCTTCTTCAGGGCTTTTGTGAAGGATGTTGGATTAAAAGCCTTTCTCCATTTATTTAGATGAGTATGATTTTTATCCTTGACCATGTTTGCTAGACTGTTCATTGGTTGTGTATGTTGAAACACCCTTGTGTCTCCAGAATACATCTCAGTTGACTGTGGCATACAATCTCCTTAGTGTTCTCTTATGTTCCGGACCTGTTGTGTCTGGCTGACATCTTACTTACACAGCTTCTGCAGCGTGTGTCTTCACTGCTCTTTACATCTTGACTGCATATTGGGATGCAGCATTACTTTGCCCTACTTCTGAACAACCAGTCTTCTTTGAGCGGCTAATAAAATTCACTAGTGTGTCTGTCCACTTTAGGGCATTTTGTTGCTGTTGCTGGAGGGGCTTTTAAATTATTATTTAAATCTCACTGTATATTTAGATTTGCTTAGATTTCCTTATATCTTCTTGGTTCAATTTTCGTAGGTTATGTTTGTCTAGAAATGTTCATTTATTCTCTATTTTAAAAGTGTATTAAATTATAATTTTTCAACATAGCCCCTAATAATGATCTTGGCTTCATGGATTATCTGTTTGGATTATACATTTTGATTCTTGATAGTGGGAATTCGAGTCTTTTATCTTAATTAGTTTGGTTAGAGGATTTTCCATTTTTCCTGCCTCTTCAGAAAACTAGTTTTCATTGGTTTTCCATGTATTTTTGTTTCCTTGCTATTTTGATGTTGCTTTCTTATTTTCTCCATACCAGTTACTTTGGATTTATTTCCCCTTTCTAGCTGCTGATTTTTGCAACTTAGAGTATTAATTGTTTGCTTATCTTGTTTTCTGATTACAAGTATTTAAAGTTATGAAGTTTCCTTCTGGTACTTTTATTCTATACTTTTTATTCTATATACTTTGATATAATTTTCACTCTCACTCAGTGTTGTGGATTGAATCCAGGACTTTGCACGTACTAGAAAAGCAGTCCAGTGCTGAGCTATATTCCCAGCCTTTGAAAATTTATTTAAAATTGATGATGATACAGGGTTTTCCTGTGTAGCATAGGCTGGCCTTTCACTTATGATCCTTCTGCCTCCCTTTCCTGAATGCTAGGATTACAGGTGTGTGCCACCATGCCTAGCAGTTCACAGTGTCTAAAGATTTTTACTGTGGATATTTTTTGATCTAGGGGTATTGGTGTGACTCTTTGGAAGCATGTTGTTCAATCTCCACATTTTTGAGAATCTTCTAATTACATTTGGTTGTGGTAAGATGATATTTTATGTAAGACTTTTTATCCCTTTACATATATTAAGACCGGTTTTGTGATGAAGCATATTTTCTCCCTTGGTGAATATTTCATGTACCCCTAAAAAATAAAATACATTCTTCTGCTGCTTTGGTGAGTGGTGGATAAGTGTCCACCAATGTGAGGCAGGCTGCCAGTGGTGCTCAAGCCACTACTCCCGAGTTGTTTGTGTTCTTGTCCCACCTTGTCCCACTATGAACTTCCTTATCTTTCAGCTCTGTTAGGTGTTGCCTCATGTGTTTTGAACTCAATAGGCATTTGATTTATGCCTCTATGACACATTTATCATTCCTACAGTTTCCTGATTAATTTTCCTTTCCATCATTATAAAGTGTTCATCTTTATTCTGGTAATACTTGTCCTGGGTCTAGTCTGTTTGATGATGAATACAGTGACTCCATTTTTTATTACTAATGTTTTAAAATTTTTTATTTAAAGTGCTTTATACAATATATTTTGATCACATTTTCCTTCCTGCTCCTCACCATCTCCCTGTCTACCTAACTTCATGCTCTTTCTCCATCTCAAAAAAGGAAAAACAATAACAAAAGATAATCAAAACAAACTAAAAAAAGACAAAAATACCAAAACAAAAATCGTTAGTGTTTACATTATTATTTTAATGGAAATATTATTTTCTGTCTTTCTTTCTTCCTTTTTTGTGTTGTTGTTATTGCTGTTATTTTTTTGACAGGGTCTTATGTAGTCCAAGATGCCTTGAACTCATTGTGTAGCCAAGGATGAATTTGAACTTAGGGTTTTCCAGCCTCTGTCTCCCTGGGTATTGGCATTCCCAGCATGCACTTCCATGTCAGGCTCTTTGTTTCCTTTTGTTATGATAAGTAATAGTAGGAGGAATACCTTTTGCTTATTTATTCTGAGAAGACTATTACATATATTTTATTATTATGGTTTTATATATATATATATATATCATAAAGTTTGCTATTTTAACATTTTACACACACAGCTTAATAGTGTTAAGTACATTTACAATGAATATTGTTCTGTACCAATAAAATCATATGTACAAGAACAGGCATTGGCCTGGATTTGGCCCTCATGACATGGCTTGGTGACCTCCATGTTCTGGAGTTTGTCATAATATATTTTCAAATATCACATTAGAGTTTTTGGTGGGAATAAACCTCTACAGCCATGCTGTCGATTTTCTCCTTCCTGCTCTTTGTGTTATTGTTATTACACACTTCGCTTTTATGTAATTGATGAACCTTACTATATAATGTTTGTCATTTTGCTTTAAAAATTACTTTAAATAATTACCTAACAAATACATAGCAATTAAATAAAGTGTCTTTCATACACTCCTGTGCTGACTTCCCCTGTCATTCTTTATTCCCACAGGAATAGCTTGGATAACTGTAGAAAATTTTCCTCCTCTAAAAGAACCGTTTTCACTGTAGTCCTTTGTCTGAGTGATCTTATCTCACATATTTAATCTCTTGTCTAATAATTTAGCCTGAAAAGGCAAGTTCAGGACTTTAGCGTGACTAGAAATTGCAGCAAATTTTCTAGAACTGTGTATTATGTGAAAGTACTTTGTGGTTAGTTCTGCGCAGATGAAACTTCTTATTTAAGCTGGTGTAATGGACACACCTGCTTGTTCATATCCCTTCTTTCTTTTGTCTGTGACTTACTTGGTGAACACTACTTGCTCTGGTCTGTGTGCGACACACTGTGGGAGATGATGACAACGTGCTGAGAGAGATGCCGTATGGCAGGAGAAACAGATGCAGAAGTGTAACTCACTGAGAACAGCACCGGACAAGCACATAGGAAGGAGGGTTGAACAGCTCTAGAAGGGGCTGCTCAGCACAGATCTCACACCTCAGGAAAGTTTTGTGAGCCATCAACAATAAGAACAAAGCCAATACCTCAAGTAGGTGGAACAGAATAGTCAGAAATCAGAAGTATAAACTGTTTTTTCATGTGGACGTAGGAGCTTAGTATGATTGGCAGAAGGTTCTGGCTATAGTCAGTGACAGGAGAGCTTGAGAAGGTAGGCAGCCAGCACAGTGACAAGAGCAGGACAGCCCTTTCATAGGGATGCAGGGATGGTTCAACATGTATAAATCCATAAATGTAATCCACCATGTAGACTAAGGGACAGAAACCACATGATCATCTCATCAAATGGAAAAAGGCCTTTGACAAAGTCTAATGTCTATTCATGATAAAAATTCTAACCCCATCTCTAAAACTTTTCTTTTTGTGTTGAGCCAAGTTTGCTAACAGAACATTGTTTTTCTTTCTTACTCCTGTTCTTCAGCATGAGGTATTCTGGTTTTGTCATCCCAGCACATTCAGTCATCAGCACATCAGTGAGACTACTCCAAGCAAACACTGTATCCAATGTGGAATTTCAGTCTCTTTTAAGGGCTTGATTTTTGTCCCCTTTAATTACCCACCTCTTTTTTTTTTCTCTCTCTACTCTATTTCACTGCTTTGTTCTTTCCCTTTTACCTCTAAGGCTGCTCCTTCAACTGTTAAAAATAGCTCTTCCTGCCAGTAACCGAGGACAGTGTAATGTAAGGGTTTTCTGTGTATGATTTAATTTTTACAACATTCTCATGCCATAGATGAGAAAGCAGGCACACTTGAGTGTGAGCTGGGTTTAACTGGCTTAGAATGCAATGTGAAGGATGTCTCTTCAGACTGTAAAGTCTGCATCCATGTCCCTCCCAAGCCCCTCTACCTCTTCCTGCTCCCCTCATGCTTCTCTGGGACTCCTCATACTGCAGAGCAGGGCCAAGGGGATTCTGCATGGGTTTATAGTGCTATACAGTCCCTGCATTCTGCTAGAGGTGTCTTAGTTCTTTTCTAATATGTATACCAAACTAAGATTTTTGAGGGAATGTACTGTTTTTTTGTTCATGATTGCTTCCCAAAGCCTAGTGCAGTGCATCATGGGTCATGTGATCAATATTTTGTGTGAGAAAAGGGAACTTTTTTTGAGGCAAGGTCCACCCTGTAGCCTAAGCTGCCCTGGAGTCCAGACCGGCTCCAAGCTTCCGATGATTCTCTGGCTTCAGCCTCCTGAATGCTGGAAGTGTAGATATGTAGCGCTCCTGGTTGGTTTGCGCTCTTAGAGGTGTATAAAATGCCATTTGAACAATTTGCCCGGGCCAAGCAAATCCCACCCCCAAACCTGTCTGCCTATGAGGTATAAAAATGTGATCAACATGACTGAAAGCGTATAGAGCTCTCCAGTTTGTGTAAATATGACGGTGTATGCAGGGTACTCATTTGACTTTCAGATAGAAATTGTTGAATAGTTGAACAAAAATCCACTTTTATAGACAAAGTTTGCTCAAATGTTTAACATATTTAATTTTGTTTTAATTTTATACTAGAATGTTCCAGAACTAAATAATAAAAATAGTGATGAACTATCCAGTAAAAAATCAGGAAATACCATCACACAAAAGTACAATTCTGGTCAGGAAGTACGGGGGGAAAATACAAAGAATTTGTGTTTGGATAATGAATGCAGAGAAAAGGAAGGAAAGAAAGACGGACCTGTAGCAAGAACGGTGGAAGGTAAAAACTACATTGATAAAGTACATGGTGGCTTCTCTGGCATTTAGGGCTGACAGTCACGGCTTTGCTTTAAGGGCCTTTTAGTATTGTTGGGGAACACCTGTCCATCTGTACGTAAACAAGCATCCTGCAAGTGAGTCTTCAAAAGTGGCTTTGCAGAGAGTCTCTTGGTCACCAGCACACTTCAGCTGACCAGGCCACAGCATTTCTCTAGGTGTAAATCCCACAGTAAGCACTGAGATGATTTCCCAATTCCTCCACTCTGAAGAGTTGCTTAAAGCAGCACTGACTGAGGTGTTCAGCTGAGGTTGAATAGCCGCTTGGTGGAGATGTTGGAGAAAGAATGATTGAACCAATTTAAGCTCTTCAAGACCTGAAATTTATGTTCTAGTTATTTTAACTATACTTATGATTTGATGTCTATAGTTAAAGCAGCGATTAATAAAATTGTCTTGAGTAGATATTCTATGAGTTGGTCCAAATATTTTTCAGAATTTTAAAATACCTACAGGGTAATAAACAAACAAACAGCAACAACAACAACAACAACAACAAAAAGATGATTGTCAAACAAGAACAAGCTATCAAATTCTGAATGTTGTTAGGCCTGAGTTTTAATGGACGTTAGTATATACTTTAATTTTTATTGGTTATGTGTTCATATGGGTTTGTATTATGTGCCCCCAAGCAAACAGCTATAAGAAAAATAAAGACTATTGTGTAAATACCTCATGGTGCTTGCCCCCTTAAGACAAAGTGATTTAGCTGTTGTGAAATAAAAATGTTTTGGGGTAGAGCCAAGAATTTAGCATCAAAACGTATACTTGCTATAGTATAGAAACCCAATATTTGAATAAAATTGATGTCATGTTTGTATGATTAGCATCCAGTAGAGTATTTAAGGCTAAATATGTTTTCACAAAACATGGATGACATATGTTTAAACAAGCTTTACTGAGATTATAACATTTTATTTTGTCCTCTTCATGACAGATTTATGGCCTTTTGAAATAAGTGCCAAAAGTGAAATTAAGACTGTTGTATCTCAGGATGGAAACCAAAGTGAAATGTCACCAGGCAAAGCCCTTTGCCTAGATAAAGATTTAACTGATCAAGAACAAACCTCAAATGTTACTGAAAGTAGAAAATCAATCACTGTAGAAGTAAAAGACAAGGTGTGCTTGGAAAAAGCCAGTAGATACCCAGAATTTAAATCGCTGAGCAATTTCTTTTTAGTGATGGACGAATCACTAGAAACAGAAAAGATACGCCAAGAAGGAACAGAAGGATTAGGATGTCTCCACAGTGATGTAGGTTTTCCTCCGGACACTCACAGTAACAAAGTGTCTCTTAGTGGCACTTGTAATAGGATGGCCCACAAAAGAAACTATAGCACAGATGTTTCTGAAAGCAAGGCATTCCAACAGCAATCCACATTGCTTCCAGAGCTGGAAAATGCTACAGAGAAGGAAATCACACATCATGACCAAACCAAAGCAGGTTTTGATTCGTTTCTAGATATAAAACTAAATCTTGATCAGTGTAAGAAACATGGCTTAAAGGAGTCAAGTAATGTTATGTTAGACGTTAAGTACCAAAAAACAAAACAAACGTTAAGTGAAGAGAACGAGAGCAGCATAGTACCCTTTCCATGTGGTCAGCAAGCCAGGAAGGCTCCCCAGAAGCCTGAAGCAATGGCTGCCAGTGCTGGGGCGATCAGTCCACCCAGTCCATCTGCTGTCTCTGCCGATAATTTGACAGTACTTAAGAACTCAGAAAACAGCATCAGTACTATGCTGACATTGGTGAAACCTGCCTCAAGCCCTGCAGAGAGAACTATAAGGAAAAATATAAATGACATACAGAACAGTCCCCTTAAGAACCATTTGGGAGCTTCAGAGAACAGTGTGAATATCTCAAAATTTCAGGTAAACCAAATGGACAGTCATGCTTCACAAGCCAAAGATTTTAAAACTGCAGTTCCCATGACAACTTCCACAGAAAAACAGCTTTCCAGTGAGAATCAGATAACTGAAACCCCCAAAAGTAGTCTCTTTTCCTTGGTGGATGTTAAAGAGAGACAGTGCATGTTGCTAAATCATAGAGAGAAAACAGAGGCATTAAATGACACCCTGTCAGAAGGAACAGGTCTGTGTTCCAGTGAAGGCCAGTTGGAAGACTCATATTTGTCTCATGTAACACCATCTGTAGACTCAGTAAACACAAATGCAAGGTCGGCCTTTGATCTTCCCACTCCAGATAAACCTGAGAAATCTCCAGGATACATGAAGTTTGTAGCCCCTAGTCCTTGGTCAAATATAAATCAAATTAAAACACTGGGCACTATAACTTCCAGCATTCCTTTATTGCTGAAGGAGAGACCAGTAGGTCTGCCAGAAGACAAGGAGATTATGCCAATGACTTTTTGTAAAAATCTTTGTTTGGATGACGCTAGAAAAAATATTGAGCCAGGTAAGAAAACAAGGTAATAATTTCAAATGGCATTTTTTTCTAGTACTTAGCTATTCTTGACAAAGAGTCCCCATATTTGTTTAAAGTGAAAAAGAAGGTATGTGTGTGTGACCAGCACTTCATACTTTGTAGGTTCTTCTTTTTTCCACTCTTCTCTACTCCTTCTTCTCTTTCAAACCCCTAACACTAGATTAGAGAGAAAAAAAGGATAAGAAAGGGAAGAGATCCTCAAATAAAGTCACAGATGGAAAAGGGGACATTGTTATTAGACTACTTTCCTGATTAAGAGCATCAAGTTCCTTCAAGTTTGATCTTCCCGGCAGGATGGCCAATTTCTTCTTGTTTCTTTGTCCACAACTAGTTAACAAACCACAATCAACAGCAACCAACAACTAACCAGCAACCCACTACACCTCTAGGGGCCCGAGCATTTATTTACCCTCTGAAAAGTCCTCAGAATCCCAAGTCACCCACCTGCAGCTTGTAAAAAATCATGCCTCTGCTAGCCCATAAGGCAAATCAAGGTCATCTGCTGTGAAGCAGCCCTACTTCCCCACACCTAAGATTAAAATGAAAACATATTTTTATAACATTTTTGTGTTTAAAGAAAGCAGAAATCCAAAATTCTCACTACATGTCTTTGTGTGCATATAATCTTCTAAGCATAATAGAGTGACTTTATTCATATGGTCTTTTATTTATTTGTTTGTTTATTGATTTGTTGGATTTTCTAAGGCAGGGTTTCTCTGTATAGCGCTGGCTATCCTGGAACTCACTCTGTAGACTAGGCTGGCCTCAGAGATCGCCTCTCTCTGCCTCTTTGAGTGCTAGGATTAAAGGCATATTCCACCAGGCTTAGATGAATTATTTTTTAAGCTAAGTAGTAGTATCAGTGTGTCACGTTAGGAAGTGTTTTTCATTGTTAAAGTGTGGCACCAACACAGGTCTAGGTTATAGAGTTTAAATTAGAAATAAATCTCACTATCTCTCTCTGGTCTTCACTCTTTTCCCATTTTCCTTTATGTGCACATCCCTTTACCAGCACCATAAATTCAACCTGTTCATTTTATTGGCAAAAAATGGAACAGAGGAATTTATTTCATATCATTGGGTTTTACTGTTATTATTGCTTGAAGCATTTTAATCCTTTAATAATTATGTACCTATTTTTATTCACATTACTTTAGAGATTAAAGGGTCCACATTCTTTTTGAAGTAACACATAAATGATAATTTAAAATATAGCTCCAGTAAACAAAATGTAATTGACTTGATGAAATACAAGATTTGGTAGGGAGATGTGCATGTTGGGTGCCAATACATTGAGGCACATATTCCCTGCTTTTAAACTTTTACTACAGAGATTTAAAAATGTACTACGTTTTGGGCTGTGAAGGCAGCTGGTAAAAGCACCCGTCATGTTAAAGGAAGGACCAGTGTTTGGTCTTCGGCACCCAAACAAATGCTGATGGGTATGGCAGCCCACTTGAATCACAGTAGTGGGAAGCACAGTCAGGGATCCTTGGAGGGAGCTGGCTAGTCAGATTAGTTGAATAAGCCAGCGTGGGGTTCAAGAGAGTGAATGAGGAAGACATCTTGACATCAGCCTGACATGTGCACCTAGAGACACACAACCATGCTTATACATGCAAAAACAAAACAAAACCCACCAAAACAATACGAAACACCTTGGGATGAATTAGGTACTATACCACTGAAAGTTAAATATATCAAAACTATAGTTTGAGATGAAAATGAAGAAAATGCTTACTCTGCTAATAATAATCTCATAGTCAAAGTTGAGAGCAAAGGCAGTCTGAAGATTTCTTGGACAGTCTTACTGGTATTGAACTGATCACCTTCTAGCATTAGCCTCTCTAGCACTGGGGTCAGAGTGCTCAGCTCACAGATGTGTGCCACCATGTCTTGCTAACTAAATTGTAAGGGAACTTTGTGGATTTAGACACACTGAAGAAATGCAGGTAACTAGGAAGGCTTTGTGGGGTCCACAGACTCAGTGGGCTTCTTCCAAAAAGGAAATTAAGAACTTAAAGATTATTAGGAGCTTAAAGATAAATATACCTTGGTTACTAGCACCACTGATGTAAAGAAAACACCACCACCAAAATACTATATAACCTCATTTTCCAAATTGCAATTTTAATAATGAGCATTGCTTTAGGGGCTGATGTAACATTCACCATTTTCTCAGTGGCATAAGAGATGTCTAAAATTCTAAAACCAAATATATTTTTACTAAGCATGGCTTTTAACATTTATCAGCTGTGTTTAAGTAATTTTTGTTATTAAGTCCAACAACCTCTTCTGTGGCAATTTTCTTAAATAGTTTTAAAATTCTGGTGTTTATTTTGTTCAGTCTTCCTCACTAATCTGAATTTGTAAAATGGTCATTATATAAACACTTATGTGTGGGTAATGTGTGGTAACCAGGAAATAAGAACATTTTGTATGTGTGTGTGTTTAAGAAGGTATTTATACCATTTACCCCTTTTAATGATTTAGGAAATGCCAACAATACAATCTTGTTTCCTGAACTGAAATACCTAAGAGGAAAGACTAGGGAACGTTAATATTCAAACAGAAATAGAAACTGATTTTCAAACACAAAAAAAGATTAGAAAGTTCAGTCATTAAGAAGAGTATCTAGAGAACACAGTTCAGTTGTTGTCATTTCCTGTTTGTCAATCAGATTCTGCCAGCATTAGCAGAGTTGCTGCCACTGTGAGTAACTGGAGTGTCCATCCAGATCCCCAGGGACAGCCCAGTGAAGAGAGGAATGCAACTGCGAAGTCGTTTTATGAGTCTTCTTTTCCCAGTGAACATGTAAGTCAGTTAAAAATATTGCTGAGCAGACCTCAGTGAGCTAATTCTCCAGATATGTGTAGCACTGTATGCATCTGGATACTATAAGCCCTAACTGATCACCAGAATAATATCAAGAGGGCAACACGGCACCATTTTTCACAATTAAGGCTGATAGAAAACAGCAGGAAAAAGTCACAGTGTATAAATCAAGTAGATACAAACCAGCCTGTTTGGGGGACAAAGGCATCATCTTATGTATTTATATCACCTCAACTTAGAAATAGTGGACTTGAACATCCAAATTTTTTTTTTATTAATAAGTTCTCAAGCTGATTAATTTAATTTGTATTATCTTTGGAAAATGTATGAAAGGATAGAATCTCTGTAATACAATGATAAGACATATGCATTAAACAGAGTATTTGTAGCGAGCATATGGCTTTTAGGAGCCCATTCATCATAAGAAGAGCAACCAACCATAGCTGACAAGTTATTTGGTTAAATTTCTGAGTTTTATATCTTAGTGTATAGAACTTTACCCAACAAGTCTGTATTGTTTAAAGTCTTAACAAAACAAATCCAGACCAGTGCTGCTATAACTGATAAAAGGTTAAGCAATGGCCCCTCATGAGACTACCATAGTGACACATTCTGCAGATCTTTGAGCCATTTAGAGGCATCAAACAATTCTCTCACACTACACAGCTCCATACTAACATCCCTAACAGTTTTCAGCCATGTTGCCTCACTTCCCTTTTTAAGTGGGAGAAATCTCAAGTAAAACAATGCAACTCTTCTCACAGTAGTGAACTTGGCACAAGGAAGCCTGACTTCTCAACTGTGTAAGTTATAATCAAAGCAGAAAGCAAGCTTCTGTCAGAGCTGGTCACTATGTCGCTGAGGACGTCTCTTAACAATGTTTCCCTATCCTAACTAACCTCCAGCATTTTAAAGGTCTAATGGAATTTTCCTATTTCCCTTGAAAACCCACTCTTGTAGTCAATCTGTAAATTCTTTGTGTCTGATAAGTAACGTTCTCCAGGCAGCTCGTGTTTATAAGATTCTGCAACATTTTCATAGAAACATGTTTATCCAACTTCCTGTATTTTTTTAAAAAAAATTTTTACAGATGAGTAAACAGCACGAATGTGAAATATTTTTCTAAGATCATTTAGATGTAATTATCTATGGTGGACCTGTATTACATATCCTAGCTCTGTCCAATGTTGTTTTCTCAACTTTTCGTAATAGAAAAAAAAAGCTCAAGACTTTCCGGAGCATGTAATTATTTCCTGAGTGAAGTAGTACATAAGCATCATTATGTTTCCACACTTTAATACCAGTTATCACATAACGTAGAAAGATCCTCTAAGAGAAAAATCACAGCTTTTTAAAGAGCACGCCCCTTTAAAGGGAGCAAGGCTATGCTCACACTTTTGCCGAGCCTGTGGATTACAACAGAACTAAGCTGTGCGGCAGCCTGGTCTGCAGTCAGACCTGGTGCTTTACAGAAAGTTCACCAACCTGTTACACATGAAGGGTGATGTTATAAAGACCACCAGCCAGAAAAGTAATTTCATTTTTCACCATATTTTGTTTTCCTCATCAGTTCTATTAATGTATCAATCCAGTTTCTCTACAGCTTTAGAGATTATTTTTTGTTCTTGTTCCGGAGTTAGGTAGAGTCTGCTGCAATCTTAACTATATACTGAAGTGAAGTTGGAGAGGGCCCAGAATAAATAAAGCTATTAATTTTACAAGTCTGATCCATGGAAGGTCTTGTGCCAAGCTAGGGAAGTGTGCAGTGGAAAGAGGAATGAATTCTAAAAAGACAAAGGAATGAGCAACACTGTACTGACATCTGGAGCAGCTGGAATTGTAGTCACTGCAATGGGCTGCACAGACCATGTGGTCAAACAGGCCAAGTTTACTAAGTCAGGCTTGACCTGACCTGCCTCCACGTCACTTCACTGTGTTGAGTCTCTGGTAACACCCCTCCCACCATGTGGGAAGAATCCAAAGCAGGGTCAATGCTCGGCCTTTTTCTGATCAAGATAAAAAGTAAAAGTAGGATTTTGTTAAGTTGCTAATTTGTGCTTGGACACCAAGTGAGTCAAGTATTTTGGTGCCTTTAATCCCAGTACTCAGGAGGCGAGGCGGAGGCAGGCAGACCTAGAGAGCTCTAGGACAGCCAGGGCTACACAGAGAAACCCTGTCTGGAAAAAAGAAAGAAAGAAAAGAACACTGTATTATAACTTCAGAGCTAGAGCTAGAGTTCCGCTTCCCCTACTTTTGCATATGTGTGTATGAGTTTGTGTGTGTTTACTGTTGCAGGGGGAGGCGCCAATTTCCAACAAAGCAGACATCAGATATATACATTTAATGTACATTTTTTGTTTTATCTCTAACTTTACAGTAATAGTGCCTAAAAATCTTGTTTATAGGAAAACCAAGGTCTAGAAAAGCTGACTAGGACTTGCTCAGATCCTTGATCCTGAACTAGGATCTAGGGGCTAGGAGCTAGGGGCTAGGAGATAACTACAGAATTTTAGGCAATATAGCAATTCTTAGGGGAACTTTGGCTAGATCCTAAACACCTAAGCTCACTTAAAAATTCATTACTTTCCATTAGCATGAAACCGACACTGCTACACACAAGCCACACTTACCAAGACTTCAATCAACAAGACAATAGAGCCTGCTTTCGTGACAAGTGATTGTTTCCTTATAAGTGGCTTACTCTATTCTAAATTATAGGGCATGGATATGATGGTGCTGTCTTCTAATTTCTAAGGCTAGAAGGCAATAATTGTTTCCACTACAAACTGCTATGATCTAAATCTTAAAAAGGACTAAACTTAGATTTATATGAAAATGCTTACTATTAGGTTGGAATCTTAGGATTTTAATGTAAATTATTTTGTATTTACAAAATAAAAATGAAAAACCATCATACCAAAAATAAAGTAACCGTTATCCCAAAACTATCTACTTTTCTCAGAGAAAAAAAATAGATTTATTTGGAAATCTTATCTGAAGATAAATTTTTTCCACAAAATCACTTCAAATTTATTTGATAGGGATAAATTGGAAACAATGTTAGTATTTAATTCATGAGTTACATCACATACATAAAAGGTAGTTTTTGAAGCTCCTTCACAACTGCTTATGAAAGTGCTCACAGGAAAAGGCAAGATAGAAGATTCTATAGAACAATCAAGAACACCTAGAAAAGGAAGACTAACAGCCAATAACACATTCTGGGTAATGGAATAATAATGTTATTTAGTTTCTTTATGTCTCTATTTTCTAGTATTCTATCAGAAAAAAATATTCCCTTAAAACAAGTTATTTTTTTGAATACAATGTTCAAATTTAGTGTGTAGTGTGTTGGAAACGCCTCTTCTGACTGCTCAGTGCTCCTTCCCACTCTTCACAGTGGTGTTGGGAGCCTGACAGAAAAGGCTGCTTTAGAGTTTATGTTTGAATTTCTAATCTCCCACTTCACAAAAGTTACCAGACGCTTTTGGGAAAGATGGGTGTGAAAGAAAAACTGACAGTTATCTGCATATTAAACTTACTTCATAATAAGCGTATGAGCTTTCAGAAAACATTTGTGGTAGCCCTGGGCACACAAGTGTTTGAGGAACTATTACATAAGCCTGAGAGTCACACTAGGGACTGTAGCTGCCAGATTGCCACAGTAATTCTAAATCAACCATGAGATAGCTTTAGTCTATGCTAATTGCAGGGGTTCTGGATTTTCCTTACTGTCATCTGTATGGTAGTTTTGGTAGTAAAATAAACATGATCTTTCCCTAGGTGAAAGCAGAGCCTTTGATTTCAACTGTGCAACAAAGCCATTCCCAGACAATCAAGGTCACAGACACTCCTGATCCACTTGTCTTTTCTCCTGGTGACAATGACTGGCAGAGCCTTATGATAAACCGACTAACCGAAATTGAGAAGTTACTAAGCTTAGAAAGTGACAGCCAGCCCAAAAAAAGAAAAGTAGAAGAGACGCTGGAAAAAATAACTGATTAAATGTTGATAAATGCTTTCATTAGTGAAACTGATGTATTGGGGTGAAGGGTGTTCATCTGAGCACTATAGCCGTCTTCACTTCGCCAGCTTTTTTCTACTATGGTGAAGACTGCCATCTTTATTTGCAGAGCTTGCTGTCAGCACCCCAGGCCCCTTTCACTTTGTCTTCCCTTTGTATTTTTCCTTCAAAGCATTGTTTGTTTCTTTCTTTACAGAACGCAGATATTATGAGTAAGACAAAGTGGCTCTTTGAAGCATTACTTTCTGTTTTCCTTATAACGCCGAGAAAATAAATGGCCAGATCAGTCAAATTTTAGTTGATAACATTTTACTACGACTTAGAACTTTTTTTTAAAGAACAAAATTATTTGCATAAAGATTCAGGTATCTGAAAGACTCAAAAGGCTATTTTTCACTTTGTTCAAATTTTGTTTCCAGGCATTAAGAGTGTCATACAGCTGTTGCCACTGCTGTTTTCCAAATGTCCGATGTGTGCTGTGACTAAAAATTAAAAACAAAGTATTAGTTAATCTTTTAACTGCTGAGTATCCTTTCAAAACACTACACAGTTGAATCTTCAAGTCAAAATGAAATATAATTTAAAGGAGAATTTAAGGATTTTTTGCTTATTTTTTAGAACCATTTACCATATTGATCTCTTCTCGACATCTATAAAGCAGACAGAGTCATTAGTATTCTAGCCAGTGCTTAGCCATTAAATGAAATGTGCTGGAAAATAGGACTCTTTCATTAAATAAGCTAATCACATTCAGTCTGAACCTTAATAAAATTATGATAAACAGCCACTGTTTAACTACAGTCAACTGGTAAGAACTACCTTGGTTCTCTAACATTTAAGTCAAATAATCAGAACAAACTAAGTTGTCCTACAGAATGAAGCAAAACAGTACAGGTCTTACCTGACAACTACTTTTCTTTGGGTCTGATCAATTTTGCAGTAGACCATTTTAGTTCTTACAGCTGAAAGAGATTTTTTTACATGTTAGTTATATAGCAGATTTCTAAGAAAGAACAGCTAAGATATGATCAATCGACCAGAATAAAACTGTCACAGTGCTGGTAACAGTATTTAAGAAATCAGCTCTATGAATCCAAAAAAGAAAATGGAGGATATGGGGGTGACTGTAGCTGAGACTCCTAACAGTGAGGGTCATGGAGACTGAAGAGGATACCCTCTAATTAGATAGGACTCCTAGTAGAGGGAGAGGAACACCAACCCATCCACAAAATCTTCAACCCAAACTTTACCCTGCCTACAAGATATGCAGGGATGAAGATGGTGCAGAGATTGAGAGAATGTCCAACCAATGCCTGGTGGCCCAACCTGAGAGCAACCCCATTGGAGAGAGCTGACACTATTAACAATACCCTCTATGCATACAGATGGGATCTAGCTTAGCTGTCCCAAGAGGCTCCACCCAGCAATGGATCAAATAGATGCTGAGACTCACAGCCAAACATTGGGCCAAGTGTAGGGAGTCTTGTGGAAAAGTGGGGGGAAGGATAGAAGGAGCTGGAAGTGACAGGAGCTCCAAAGATCAACAGAGTCAGCTTAGCTGGGGCCTAAGAGGGCTTGAAGCACCAACCAAGGTCCATGTGTGGACTGGACCTAGGCCCTCTACAAAGATGTAGCCAATGGGCAGCTCAGGCTTCATGTGGGTTCTCTAGAAACGGGAGCAGGGGCTGTCTCTGACATGGACCCTATTGCCTACATTTTGATCACTTGCCCCACACCAGGCCACAGGGGAAGGGGATATGTTCAGTCCAGACACGAACTGATGTGCTGGGGTGGATTGAGGGGGGCTCCCCTTCTCTGAGCAACAGGGGAGGAGGGGTGGAGAAGAGGGAGGAGGCCACCATTAGGATTTAAAGTGAATGAATTAATTAATTTAAAAATGTAATCAGAAGGAGCTTACATAATGTCTGTCTGATGCCGGCTGGCGCAAACTATCAAGTGTTGCCATGTTTGCGCTGGGAATTTCAGTTGAAAAGGCAGGTGTGGTGATTCATACCTACAATCCCAGCACTTGGGAGACTGAGCGAGACAGGAGACTTGTCTTCAAGTCAAGACCAGCCTGGGCCACAGTTTTGACCCTGAATTCTATTTTGCTCTACAATTACTCATAGGGAGGATTAATTTCCAAATAGCGCATTACTTCTTTAGATGACTACTGGAAACTTAGATGATTAGAAACGAAGCCAAGAGTTCTAGACATCTTATTAGCTATATAATATTTTCCACTTTAAATATTAAAAAGCTTGGAAAATATTCATGGTTAATAGTTATGTCATTCTTCTTGCATTAATGTATTTAATCCTTAGGATCACACATAGCATTCACATTCCTGTTCTACAGGAAGATGTGGGATAAAATCGGGTTTTTTGTTTGTTTTGAGATGGTTTTGCTATGTACCCCTGGTTGATTTTTTTGTAGTCCCTCTGCCTCAGCCTCCAAAGTGTTTAGGATTACAACCATGCATCAGCACACCTGGGAAAACATCCCTGCTTCTAACCACCATACATAGAACATTGAGATTTTGGGAAATAGGACAAAAACCAAAGCCACAGAACTTACATATTCACTAACTTTTCATTCTACTACAAATGAATCTGATTATTTGCTATACACACACATCTACCAAACAACCCAGTTTTGTTAGCATCACACTCATTTCAAGATAAAAATCTATGACCCACATCACAGACATTGTAGAAAGCAATGAGAATGTTCTGTTGCCTTACCATCAATAACAAATGCTTCGACATCATCAGCTCCAATCTGTAGCTCTTGCTGCATTGTATCGAAAGAAATCTCTTTGTTCTCCACTGCCATTCCCATAAAAGTGAGGAGTCTCATTTTTGCCATATTTTGCTCATGTAATAGACCTAAATTACAGAACAGTGAGCCATTCAGTATCCATGCAAAGGCTTGCACAATCATAGTTAAGCAGTAGTTGTCACTAGGTTTGAGCACTTACATAGAGCAAACCTGACAAGTTGTATTTGACAACAGAGTACTGAGTTTATTTCTAAACTATTATTTTATTTTATAGTAATAAGAGAACACAGGTAATTGGGTCTAAAGTTAAGCACGAGCTACAAATACTCTTAGGTTTTGTATATCTTTACACATTTTAGGAGACAACATACATAGCGCATTTCAGTTAAATTACCTAAAGCTTATGCTCACCAAGAGCTCTTCATTTAAACAAGTTCTGTGTCATTACACTAGAAAATAAGTAGTGAATTCTTTTATTTAAATGAAGAGCTTTGTGTATTTGATGGTACACTGTTTACCCAACAACTAGAAGGCCCTGAGTTTGGTTCCCAGGACCGTGCACATACCTACAACTCTCAAATATTTTAATTTGTATTTTTTTCCTTCTTTTTTTTTGTTTTTTTTTTTTTTTGTTTCTTCCCCAAATAGGGCTTCTGTAGCCCTGGTTGTCCTGGAACTGTTTGTAGTCCAGCTGACCCAGAACTCAAGAGATCCACCTGCCTCTGCCTCCCAAGTGATTGGGATGAAAGGTAGGCACCACCACGCCCATCTTACTAAGTTATATTTTCATGTACTATTATTTCCCTTCTGGTTCCTATCAAAGTATGTTTATCAATAAATATTTACAGGCCAATATATTCAGTACAAAAATTGTACTGTTAGCTCGGCAGTGGTGGCACAGGCCTTTAAACCCAGCACTTGGGCAGCAGAGGCAGGCCAGCCTGGTCTACAGAGCTGAGTTCCAGGATAGCCATGGACACAAAGAGAAACCCTGTCTTGAGGGAAAAAAAAAAAGAAAGAAATGAATATTGTACTGTTAGTAGATGTGCATGCTTGATAAGGCCAAAGAATAAAATTATACAAATCATTTAATACTTGTATCATAATCTCTAATGATACACACTAATATAGTTATTCGGATCAGAAAATTGTTAGACCTGGAAGTAAACATTATTTCATCCTTCTTCCTTAAAAAAAAAAAAAAAAAAAAAAAAATTAAACCCAGAGATCAAGTAATTGACTTAACAAAGTAGAAATTGTAGCCAGAGACTTTAGGCCCATTTTGAGTAAAAACTCAAAATAATCTATAAATTCTAAAGCTCTTTGGATTTTTTCTTTCTTTCTTTTTAAAGATAGGGTCTCTTTATATAGGCTGTCCTGGAGCTCACTATGCAAAGCAGGCTGGCTTTGAACTCACTGAGATCTGCCTGCCTCTGCTTCCCAAGTGTTGGGATTAAAGACATGTGCTCTTTGGCTCTTTAACCTGGCCCTAAGCAGAATTATAGGAGAATGTTATGTACTTGTTTTGACAGTACTGTATTATCAAAACAAGTTTTAAAAAGCAACATTATCTCAAGTATATTGTTAAAGTTATTTAAGCACACATGAATAAAATGATATTATCATTCATGAATTAGTGGAAGACTAGGGAAGCCTGTTAATACAGGACACAATCATTTGCTAATTAGCTGTAATTAACGATACAGGCTTCCGATTTGGCATAGATTCAACAAAAACATGATCATCATAACTCAAATGAATGAGGTACACAAGAAAGTATTGCTGAGTTTAATGGTAATCTACAAGCATCAAAAAAATCAATTAGTGCACATTAACCCTAATTAACAAATGCAAATCAGATGGTGATTAACTTTCTGAAGCAAGAAGGTAGCAACTGGGTAACACCAGATTACACGTGGACATGTTAGGGCAATTTGGTTGACACAGATAATAATACAGTTGGCCCAAGTTGTCAGTGTTAATTAAAAAAAATGTTTTGACAAACTGATGACACCTGTGGAATGTAATACTTATAATATTTAATAGCATTTCTCCTAAAGCATCTGTTGGAAAAAAAAAAAAAAGCAAATTTCTACAAAAGGCAAATTAAAGGAATTTTTTTTCTAACTGGCACAGTAAATTAGCAGTTAGGAATCTGTTCCTATCAAGGAATATTAAAAGATTCTCAAAAATCCCTTAGCATTCTCAGTTACAGGTGCACAAACAGTCCTCTGAGTATGAAAAAATAAAGACATTCCAAATTCTGAAGGTCTGATTAAAAAGCGCACGCACAGATATAGGTGCATGTGCCTATGAGTAGGGGGATGAGGCTGTGTCCTTCACTGTCCCTTTTCCACCCTCTTTCTTGAGAAGGAGCGCTCATGAACCTGGATCTGACCTTTCAGCAAGACTGCTTAGTCTGCAGACCTCGAGATCTGCCTGCTGTGCACCAACTAGCACGGAGGTAACAGACACTGACTGCCTGGCCCAGCTTTTACATGGGTGCTGGGGTCTGACCCCAGTTCTCATGCTTGCACAAGTACCTCACCTCTACCTACTGAGACATCTCTCTAGTCCCTAAAAATGCTCTTTAGTTTACTGATGCTCTTGTGCAGGACCCCTCTGATAAGTGAAAACAACTGTCAAAGAAATGAAGAGTATTCCCAGAATGAACTGTATCTAGTCATTTATTTCTGCCTAAAAAACACATTTATTGACATTACTTTTAAACAAAGAACCAAATGTACAGCCTTTAGGACTCCGGTTCTGAAACAGCAAACCATTATGCAGGTGAAGCTTGAGTTACAGATCTGAAGGCAGTGGCACTTTGGTTCATCAACTGGGCTCCCTTCCCAGAGGAAGGCTTAGGGCTCTCCATCGTATTTCAATTTTAAAGTTATAAAAAATCTAATTTTATGGAAACATTTATTCATTACTAATATGTCAAAACCTTAATGCAGTAATAAAAAAATGTGCATCATTGAGCAATTTCTGCATTGTCACTGACCCTTGTCTTAAAATGCTGCAATATAGAAAACGTAGTTTTAATGCATGCAATAGCTTATGAACCAGTGCTCCTTTGAAACAGTCAATTACACATCGATGGAGGAGTGTCAAAGTGTTAATTACTACTCCTTTTTGCCTTGGTGCGTAAATAAAGAGGTTGCTGACATTAACATTCCATCACACAGCTTCATGCCACAAAGCAAATTAACTGGGACAGAATGTGGTTTTCTGGGTCTAGTGCACCTGGCAAAGTGTTCTACACAGACACGTGTCTAATCTTGGTGTATTTCAAACACCTTATGTTCAAATAAGTCCACCTTTTCCCAAGCCAATGGCTATACAGAATGCAAAGGTGACAGGAATTAAGGTTAACCAAACTACAGTAGTCAAGTAAATTTCAACAGACACTCTTTAGTATCTACATCTCAACAGAAATCAACCTCTACTATATTTTAACTGTTGGAAAATAAAGTTTCCTTTATTTCAGTTGACTTAAGCATTCAAACAAAACCAAAACCAGTAGTTTTAGAACATTTGAAACCGTTCAAAGGATGGCAAGATGGCCTGGCCTGGAAAAACCCCTGCCACAAGCTAACAACCCAGGGGTAACACATGGAACCCACACGGTAGGAGAAAACAGACTCCTCCTGGCTGTCTTCTGACATTCATACATGTGCATGAACATGTGCATATACGCATGCACATACACCATAACTAACATTTTAATAAAAAATAACCACAAAGACAAAACCATATTTCTTACTGTCTTCAGAGAACTTCTACTGTTGAGAGAACTTTTACCACTGTGTAAAGAGCACATTCATTTTGGCAGTGGAGTCAACCATATGTGGAATTATTTATTAAAGAGGAAGTGAAATCTGATATAATTCTGCAACTAAATTTTATACATATCACTATGCATCTAAGCAATAGTGTAAGCAAACAAACATCAATCTTTTTTCTTTTTTAAAGATTTATTTATTTATTATTTATAGTTTTCTGCCTGCATGTGTGCCTGCAGGCCAGAAGAGGGCACCAGATCTCATTATAGATGGTTGGGAGCCACCATGTGGTTGCTGGGAATTGAACTCAGGACCTTTGGTAGAACAGCCAGTGAATCTTAACCTCTGAGCCATCTCTCCAGCCCACAAACATCAATCTTAACTACTAGTCTTTCATCATCAAATCAGCTTTTAAGTACTTCTATACCAGGTTCACGCTTATTCCTGTCTCTCCCTCAAAAAACAATAAAATAAAATAAAACCAATTCAATTAAAACCCAACACTTGGCCAGGTGTGGTGGTGCATGCCTGTCATCCCAGCACTCAGGGATCAGAGGCCGGCAGATCTCTGTGAGTTAGAGGCCGGCATGGTCTACGAAGCAAGTACAGGACAGCCAAGGCTACACAGAGAAACCCTGTCTCAAAACACCAAAACAAAAAACCCAACACTTACCAAGTGAATCTATGAAGTCTTTATTGTTCTGATAGAACTTGACATATGATGCCAATTTAGCACTCACAAAAATGGTTAATAACTACAGAGATAAAAGACAAAATAGTATCAAGACAGAAGTTAGATGTACACTCAGGATATTTTAAGACACTGACTTCTAACAATAAATCTCCATATTTAGTGTAGAAGCATTCACCAGCTTCCTACCAACCACCATCTAGTTTATTTTAAACATCAACCAATCAGGAAGTACAATGAGCTCTAAGCTACTTAGTCCAAAGAGAAAATAATACAAAAAATTAGTTGTCCTTCACAGTTATGAACATGGGATTCATTTTTTTCTGAGAGAATGTCTTGCTATATGTAGTTCCCACTGGTCTTGAGCTCCTGATCCTCTTGCTCCAGCCCTTGAAATGCTGGGACCAAGACTGGCTATGTTATTATTTTTTAAAATCTTAATTTGGGGCAGTGATATTAAGTAATAAAAAGAAATGTGATTAGTGAAGTTCAAAATAGCCAGGCCAAGACAGAAAATGAAGGAACAGTGTTCGGGAGACAGAGAATAATGCTGGTCCTTATACCAGTCTGTTCCCAACAGAGGGTAGGCTATCTCCAGTAACATCCTGCATGAATACGACACAAAGGGGGCTGCTGCTTCAACACGTACATAAGACTCTGGAGAAAAAAAAAGATTCACACCAAGACAAACTACTTACATCATGGATAAGCTCGCCTTCCAAGAACTTGACTGGCTTTAGAGTAAGAAGATGGTCAAAAAGAAAGGCATTTGGATCCTTCAGTGCCCGCACAATACACCTTGATAAGAAAACAAAAAGTAAAAACATAAAACAAACAAACAAAAAAACCAAAAACCAAAAAGTCAACCTTGAAATCCTAGCTTGTTGCTGATTAATTTGTATATTATAAGATATATTTAAGTCAGTAATCTAAGAGTTCAATATAGGATAGAGAATATACAAATTCAGGTTAAAACAGATAGATCAATACCTTTTTATTGAGAGTATGCTTCGATAGTTTTCATGCAACAGCAACAGCTCACAGAAGTCAATTTTATCACCCTTACAGACTGTCTCATGGCCACTTACCCTTAAAACAACCTTAACACACTGTTCTCATGACCATCTCAGAGATCATGAAAGACACTCAGAAAAACAAGAAATTCATCTAGCAAATTTCAGTTAAGGTCTGTGGTGAAACTTTAAACACTGGCAAAGCAGGAACCCCTGCCATGTCTAAGTCCACATGCAGTAATAACCCCATAGAGAGATTTCATAAAACTCTAATTCTTGCCTCACTTTTATGTTACATCTAGGAATATTAAGACCATACTTTTTCGTTAGGAAATGGTTAAATTTTGCCAAGTAACCAGACTTTCCCCATCTGCAAACCTTATGAAGACCAACCCCAGGTGAGTTGTAATTCTTTGGCTGTGCTCATTCGGCACTAACAGCGCAAGCCGGCACAGTAAACACCAAGCGCTATTTCACACACAATGCCAATCCTGAAGGAACTACTGACTACCTCTTGCCAGCTAGGGGTTGCAGAGATTGTGTCGGTTGCTGAACTGTAGCCTGTAGTTCATCTTTAAGTTGATGGCAAGTGCTCACCAGAGCAACACTCAGTATTACCTGTGGGCATCAACTCGAGCCTGTGAAGCATTGTCTTCTGTGTAACTCCCGAGCAACTCCACCATGACCTTTGATGCAGCATCACTAAAAAGAGCATCATTTCAATAGTTTGAATTTTGTTAGTCATTCCCCTACTAAAAATACTTACTGATGCACATATAAAACAGCGCCCAAAATGGCTGTTTATCTTAAAACAAAAACCAAAAACACAGAACCTGTCACACAGCTAAGGAAAAATAACAAATGATTAAATAACACCTGCGAGAAAAAAGAAGGGCAGAAAGTAGGGATGCCTTTATAGAGTAGGCAGTCTCTCTGAGGTTGTGAAAGGTAAACTGAGACACCAAAACAGAAAATCTCCCTTTACCCTCAGTCTTTGCTGTGAAACAAGCTAGCGTGCTAGGCAAAGGGAGAGGTGATATAAAGGCTCAAGATAAGCTCTTAGGACAATGTGGCTGTAATAGCTTTCCAATGAAAATTACCCTTAAAATTATGTGGATGGTCAATTCTATTTTTTTTTTATTTATTTTCATTTTTATTAGTTTATTCACTCTGTATCCCAGCTATAGCCCCATCCCCTCCCAATCCCACCCTCCCTTCCTCTTCTTCTTATATGCCCCTCCCCCAGTCCAATGATAGGGAAGGTCCTCCTCCCCTTCCATCTGACCCTAGCCTATCAGGTCTTATCAGGACTGGCTTCTCTGTTTTCCTCTGTGGACTGATAAGGCTGCTCCTCCCTCAAGTGGAGGTGATCAAAGAGCCAGCCCATGAGTTCATGTCAGAGAAGGTCCCTGTTCCTATTATTGGGGAACCCTCTTGGACACTGAGCTGTTATGGGCTACTTCTATGCAAGGGTTCTAAGTTATCTCCATGCATGGTCCTGTGCCCAGATTTTTT